CCTAACTCTCAGCCCATCTGTGAGCTCCTTATGCAGCCACACTGGTTTCCTCAGATGCCTCCCACTTTTCTTTCTTGTTGGAATGGTCTGCATTTGGGCCTTCAGTATTTCTTCTTCAAGAGACTCCCTTCCATCTTGGACTTCACTTTGAGTATTTCCAACCATGGCATCACATCCAGTAGCTCCTTCAGTTTTTTGAAATTGACCTTCATAAACAGGTGCTTTTTGCAATCTGCTGAGTAATTAGGTATGGGCAGATTGATAGCCTTATTCTCCATGAAGTTGTCCAAACCTCATTTCAATCCAACTAAGCTCTTGCAGCAAGCAGCAGAGGTTGGCCCATTCAAGCAAGTAGGGCACTGCCTCACTATACTCAGTCTGCCCTTGGCCAGCCAGCCACCTGGCCACCTTCTTACTCACAACTGGTCTAAGGGGGAGCACTGGCTGTAAGCTTCCTCCTTTTCAGTGCTACCCTTGCAGAAATCAGGAGAGGAGGATGGGAACCAAACTAGAATTAGTTGCCTCCTCCTCTCATTGGCTTTGGTGCCACCTACAGGTGGTCTCCCTGCCTTCCACCCTACCAGGTCTAACAAGCACCAGCCAACTACATAATTTCACTTTCCTGGGATGGGCAGTGTTGAGCCTGACTTATAAAAAATATTTAAAAAAATTGTGGTGTGGCATTTCTATTTAAAATGGGGTGGAGAGAGATCCTCATAAGGAATATATTGCCATGCTGTAGAACACCACATAAGCTGTTACAAGCTTGGTAGATCAGGGGAATGCTATGGACATAGTGTATCTTGATTTCAGCAATGCTTTTGGCAAAGTCCCCCATGATATTCTTGTGGGAAAACTGGTAAAATGTGGGTTGAATGAGGAAACTGTTATGTGGATTTGTAGCTAGTTGACTGACTAAACCCAGAGTACTCATTAATGGTTCCTCATCATCCTGGGAAAAAGTGACAAGTGGGGTACCACATCATTCTGTCCTGGGCCTGCTGTTGTTCAACGTCTTTATAAATGGCTTGGATGAAGGAACTGAGGGGATGATCATCTAATTTGCAGATGACACAAAACTGGGAGGAGTAGCTAATGCCACAGAGGACAGAATCACAATTCAAAATGACCATAAAATGAATTTCAGCAGGGACAAATGCAGGAAGAACCAGATGCACAAGTATAAGATGGGGGACACCTGGCTTACTAGCAGTACCTGTGGAAGGAAATTAGGGGCCTTGGTGGAACACAAGCTTAGCATTAACAGGATGGTGCAGCAGCAAAAAAACTAATGCTATTCTAAGCTGCATCAACAGAAGTATAGCATCCCAGACTAAGGGAAGTAATAGTCCCACTCTATTTTGCCTTGATCAGGTAAAGCTAACGGTAAAGGACATCTGGATGGTTAAGTCCAGCCAAAGGCACCTATGGGATTGTGGCACTCATCTCGCTTTCAGGCCAAGGGAACCAGTGTTTGTCCACAGACAGCTTTCCGGGTCACGTGGTCAGCATGACTAAACTGCTTCTGGCACAACAGGACACTGTGATGAAAGCCAGAGTGCACAGAAATGGCATTTATCTATTTACCTATTTATCTACTTGCACTGGCATGTTTTCAAACTGCTAGGTTGGCAGGAGCTGGGACAGAGCAATGGGAGGTCAACCCATTGTGGGGATTTGAACCACTGACCTGATTGGCAAGCCCAAGAGGCTCAGTGGTTTAGACTACAGTGCCCGCTGTGTCCCTGCCTTGGTCAGACCACACCTAGAAGACTGTGTCTAATTCTGGGCACCACAATTTACAGAGGATGTTGACAAGCTGGAACGTGTATAGAGGAGACCAACCAAGATGATCAAGGGTCTGGAAACTAAGCCTTATGAGGAGCACTTGAAGGAGCTGGGTATGTTTAGCCTGGGGAAAAAGGAGACTGAGAGGAGATATGATAGCCATCTTCATATATCTCAAGGGCTGTCACATGGAAGAGGGAACAAATTTGTTTGTTTTCTCTGCTCTGTAGGACAGGACTCAAACCAATGGCTTCAAGTTACAAGAAAGGAGATTCCAACTAAACATACAGAAAAACTTTCTGACTGTAAGAGCTGTTCAGTCTCTCCCAGGAGGTTGCGGACTCTCCTTCCTTGGAGGTTTTTAAGCAGAGGTTGGATGGCCATCTGTCATGGGTGAGATTCCTGCATTGCATGGGGTTGGACTAGATGCCCCTTGGAGTCTATTCCAACTCTACAATTCTATGATTTTATGGTTCAAATACAGAAAACAATCCATTTGCAATTATGAACTGCTGAAATACTACCCACGAAACCTGAAAAGCAGGTAGTATTAAATACATTACAGAGATAGATTACCAGAGACTGAACTTCTGCCCTATGGATTTGAAATGTAGAGTAAATGCACTTACTCCCACAGTAGGTGTGACTCTGCTCCCACCTTGAATTGCCATAAATGGGGTGGGGAGTCTCTTCAGCCATTGATTTGGTTGTGATTTATGCATCACAGCACTGTTTTCCATGGTAGTACAATTTATTTAGAATCATAGGCAGGGGTGTGGGGTAATAAATAACAGATAGATAACAGATAGGATAATTGATCCGTCCCTCTGTTGCCAATGCTCATTCTGTGAGTACAGATCTGACAAAATGGTGCTACTCAGTAAAAACTCACTTGCTGGATCAACACCTTGTCGTGGTGAGTGAGCTTGCACATTCCTATGACCCTTGTGAGTGAAGCCATTGGGAATCTCGCACTCCCAGCAGGGTCACCCAAGGTGGTAAGGTCAAAGGGAAGAAGCTGGACAAAGAATGATCCAAAACGTCATCAACGGCAGAACAGGCGGAAGATAACAAGCAGTATGTTACAATGGCTGAGAAGGCAGATGAAGGCTGCAGCAGATAGGAATCTATGGTCGATGTGATTGCTCATGCCATTGGAACAGAGCCCTACTGCGAAGACTGTGCTTTGGTCAGCGTGCACTGATCTACACACATAAAACAAATTCATGCACAGGCATCTTCCAAAAACCCATCCCAAACCCCCAAAGTCCCATGGCAATCGGCAAATGGTAACAGGGGCAGGACCGTGAAATCTGGAAGCCCCTAGTAATGGGCAGTAGATACAGATTCAGTTACTCTGACCCAAGGAATGAAGCCTCCCTTTTCCCCTGACTGGATTACCATGCCCAGTGGGGTCACAACCCAGCGATTGTAAAAGACTATTGAACTTTGAAACATGGAATATACAGACTTTGTTGGATAACACAGATAATGAGCATCTCAAATGCAGAACTGCCGTCATTGCAAGAGAGCTGTGACATTTTAAGATCGATATTGCAGCGCTTCAAGAAACTTGAAGAGCAGGTGAGGGACAACTGAAGGAAGAAAAGGGAGGCTACACATTATTCTGGAAAAGGTGTATCTGAACAAGAATGTCAAATACATGGAGTAGGCTTTGCAATCAAAACGATCTTGTGAAGCTCTTGTACTACCAACCTTATAGACCACTTATAAACGCTATGTCCAACTCCTCAAAAGATTCCATCAACGGTGTCTCTGGAAATTTTTACACATCACCTGGGAAGGCAGGCGAACTAATGCCAGTGTAGTGGAAGAAGCAAAGATCAAAGAACTTCCTGACAGTAAGAGCTGTTCGACAGTGGAATTTGCTGCCAATGAGTGTGGTGGAGTCTCCTTCTTTGGAGGTCTTTAAGCAGAGGCTTGATAACCATATGTCAGGAGTGCTCTGATGGTGTTTCCTGCTTGGCAGGGGGTTGGACTTGATGGCCCTTGTGGTCTCTTCCAACTCTATGATTCTATGATTCTATCACCAGTGTTGAAGCAATGATTCCTCAGCTTCAACTTTGTTGGACTGGTCATGTAGATGCCTGATTATCGTCTTCCAAAGCAACTACTCTATTCCCAACTTAAGAATGGAAAGTGAAATACTGGTGGTCAACAAAAGAGGTTTAAAGACTCTCTCAAGGCAAATCAGCTGCGAGGAGCAACAGTTCCACCTCCTGCACTTGTTTGCTGCCTCCTCAGCTGCACACCCTTCCCCTTGCTTTCTGGCTTTTCTCTTTTTCCCTCCTCACCCCCATTTTCCTTTCCAAAGGTGTCATGGGTTTTGAAGACATTCAAACTCAGGATGAAAGGGAGAAACACACTAAGAGGAAGGCAAGCTTGGGAAATCCACACCATGATCAACTCCCACCCAGAAACCAATGTCCCCACTGTGGAAGTACGTGTGGATCCAGAATTGGCCTCCACAGTCACTTACAGATTCACTTTTAAAACTGTGTTTATAGAAAATAATCCTACTCGGCTACAAGGGATTGCCAAAGAAGAAGAAAGACTCAGTAAAAAGAGGAAGGAACCCCAAGTTTTCCATATGTACAACTAATCTTCACAGGGAAAGAAGCTTCCGAGTTGGAGGGGGTAGTACCGCAAAACAGCCCAATGAGAACGGCAATTTTTCCTTTGGGGTTGAACAATAAAAGCCCCCAGCAATTCATACTGTTAACTGCAGTTAAATTAATATTCCAGTTGTTTTGCTGCAGGTTCATCTAACCTCTAGCATTTCCCAGCCTCATCACTCTTGCTCAGAGATTTGTTTGCCCTCTGTGACATCATCATGAAGCCGAATCTGATTGGCCGCATGAGGATATCATTGCTACAAAAAAGAAGGAATGAACAAAATGGTGCTTGTGCTACAGCAAGCCAGTAAAAAGGCTACCTTTGGGGGGATGCTCTAGGAAATATTTCACACATGAACAACTGTTGATGCACCAAAAATGAACAGTCGTCTGCCCGCTAATATTGAAAAGGTCTAGGAATACATTTGTTCTTCAGATACATCCCAAGCTAGCAATCAAGACATGTCACTGAATAGATGGTGCAATAGGCCCTTCTCACTGCTTCTAAATTTATCCAAATGCCCCAAAGCCATCAGGATTTTCACTCATGTACAACGGCGCAGCTAGCCACTTGGGTACCAGGTGCAGCATGCGTGTCCTGCAATTGGAGGTGGGGCGAGCCGCCCATGGGGGTGGGGCGCACTGCATGGAGCCTCTCCACCACGTCCCCCTCAGCTGTAGGGAGGCTGAGGGAGAGGCGGAGAGCAGACACAAGTCCCATGCTGCTGTTTCAGGCAGCGCAGAGCCGGCAGGCACCCAAGCCACCACATCACTCCCAGGAGAGACATGTGGCTCGGGCATGCTGCAGGCCCCGCGGTAAGTGCCGGCCCATGCGGTGTGGCACCCAGTGCCAGCTGTGTTTCGTTACATTTGATGACTGAACAAAAAAAAATGTGAGCCCAATTTATTTATTTATTTATTTATTTTTATTATTAAAAACTCATATTTTTGTTATTTGGTCACCCCCCTCAGTGATGACACCCGGGGCAGACAGCCCCCCCGCACTTCCTTCCTCCACCACTGCTCATGTATTGCTCTGTTCCAAGCAATGATCCAGTGCTTCCTACTGCTTGCTAGGATCAAGAGACCTTTCAATTCATTGGGTTATAAATAACGCAAGTGCTGATACTATTGGCCTCCACAAAAACACGAATAGAACATGTCATCCAAATTAGCACTTTAATTGGGAAGATATGGACGGCTTTGTCATCAGCTTTCTGCAAACCCCTTTCTGATCAAGCTCTGTGCATTTAATTATTCACAGTTTAACCTCAGAGATAATGTCTGTGTCTCTTGCAAGACTCCCAAGTGCCGGGACGAGTCCAAAATCCATGAACTCAGGAGCAACTCTCTAATTTGAGAGTAACCATCTTTAAATTAAAAATGAACCCAGTCTTTGTTCTGCATCTGTCTGTCTGTCTGTCTATCTGTATCTCACTGTACAGTCAAACTCTGGAAAACATCAGTGATGCCATCTGGGATCTAATCTCCAACCTGGAAGCTACTCATCTTTTAGGACACTGATTTTTATGAGTGTGGCTTCTCTATGGTTTGGTTCCATGTCACGCTAGTAATGATTGGATAAGAACATGAGCATAGCAGCATAAGAAGAGCCTGCCAGAACAGCCAGTGGCTCATCTGGTCCAGCATCCTGACAGGAGTCAAGCAGATGCCTGTGAGAAACCCACAAGCCAGACCCAAGCACAAGAGCCCTCTCCTGTCCAGTGGTTTCAACATCTGGAGGCAGAGCATTGACATTGTGGCTAATAGCCATGGATAGCCCTCTGCTTCATGAATCTATCCAATCCTCTTTTAAAACCATCCAAGTTGGCGGCCATCACTGCCTCCTGTGGGAGCAAGTTTCCTAGTTAACTGTGCACTATGGACTCACATGGGTTGGGGCAAGGGCTTAGATCCTTCCCACAAAAACACTGGCTGACACCAAGAGTGCAGTGCTGGCATGGGAAAAGAACCTACATGGGGCATGTGGGAACTCTGCTCATCCCTGTGGTTTTCATCCAGAGGTTTCTCGGATGTCACTGGACCTCATTGTGGGAGATCAGCTCCAATGCTCACAGTGAATGAACATATTCTCTCCTAAGTAGGGTTATGGCCTTGTGGCAGAGCACATATTTTTCCACCCAGGAACTTCCAGGCACAATAGCTGGCATTGTTAGGATTTTGTGTAGCAGGGTTAGACAAAATCTTGTCCCTTAGACCTTCTAGAACTGCTGGCAGTGAGAGTAGTGAATATGTTCCAAACTCCATTATCATGGGTGGGGAACCTCTGGCCCTCTAGAGGTTGTTGGACCACGTCTCACCCTTCATGACGATGGCTGTGCAGGCTGGGGTTGGTGAAGGTTGGAGTCTGATAAGATCTGGAGGCTTCTTCATCCCCACAGCACAAGGGAGGGGGGCCGTATGTCCTGCTTTACAGAGGACAGCCCTCTCTCCAAAGGAGTCTTGTCATGTCCAAGCCAGGCTTAAAGATTTCAAAGAATGAGAAGCGAAAGCAGAAGACCCTTGCAGTTGCCCATCAAGAACTGGTGACTGAGCAGCAGACCAAGGAAGTGTCATCTTGTCCACTAGGTTGACACATAGTACATTTCTATTTAAATTTTTGTTTTAAGTATCCAACTTTATATAAAAATCAGCATGTTTTTCTCCACTATTTATTTATTTATTATGTCATAAAATTTACATGAAGCTTGATTGCAAAAAGGACTTTCTAAGCATTTTATAAAAATAACAAAACAATGCATGTATCTATACAAACTGTTAAAAACAGCAGTTTTTAAAATTCAAAAAGATAAAATCAGCAATAAACTAAAAACAAATCAAAACACATATCAACATTCTAGATCTATGAGTAGGCTTGTCGAAACAAAAAATGTTTTGAGCCGGCACCCAAAAGTGTACCATGAAGGAGCTTGCCTGATACCAATCAGCAGGGAGTTCCACAGGGTGAGGTGCCAGCCAAAGTGTAAGACACTTTCATGCTTCCTCACCAGATTCCTCACCTATCTCATTTGTGTCTGATGCTCACATTCCAAGTCCCCCACCATCACCACCACCACAACAACAAAAACACCCCTCACCAAATCAATTATTTCAATAACTGCAGGTTCCTATAGGTTACATGCCAGCTGTCAGGAGAGGCACAACAGCAACAAAACTCAGGCCTGTGGGGACTTTTAAAGTGTGGGTTATTTGAAAAAGAATGACTCCATATGGCATATTTTAAAGGCAAATCGAGGATGATATGCTTGGTGGTTTCTGGAGTTCTTTATTTCCACTCTGGTGCCTCATTTAATCCAGATGACAAATGCTTTGAGCAATCCAAATAATAAAAGACCATCATCTCCTGTCCAGGGCAAAGAGAACCAGCTCCTCACACCAGAGCAAAAGAAACATTTCTGCGGCATGCTTCCCTGCAGCCTCCTCCACTGCTAGCCCAAGGGAGGATTTAGCAAATGATGTCTTCTCCTGGACTTTGATTGGCTACCTGGGAAAGTAGCAGAGTGCAGACCCCTGGTAAGATGATTTGCAGAATGAAAGAAAGCAAGGAAACTCACAAACACCACTTGGAAAGTAAGTCAAGCGCACCAAAAAGTCTGCACTGTGGTAGCTCCATGTGTCTGTGGCACAAACACAGCTGAGTGCAGATCGCCTGGTGACATTCAAGTACAGCAGGTGCCACTGGCCTGACCTTGGATGTCTCCAGGAAACACAGTGTTTTGCTTTGGTAGAGAAGTACATGTTCATGATGCAGAGGCTGCGATACAAGCCAGCTCAAGCAGCCTTTGTCCTTTCTCATTCATGCTGCTGATACCAAAGTGGGCTATGCAGATGTCCCACGTGTGATGATTTCCCTCAATTCTAGCATTGAAATCTCCCAACAGGAACAGGTGTTTGCAATCTGGGACCCTCCTGACAGCCTGGTCTAGTTCCTCGTAGAACTGGTCCTTGCTTTATAGGCCAGAGTGCATAGTTGGAATGTAGATGCTCAAGATGTTAACTGGACAGGAGGTGGTTGAGAAGCAGAGGGAAAGCGACTTCCAGTACTTCCTGCCTTAAATGGATGCAGTTCCCACGCTAGCGGAGATCATTTGCTGAGGAAAACAAGGATGATTTGGGAGTAATTGTCCTTGCAAGCTCCCCCCCAGGGCCGGGGGGAGTGAGGGTCACTCACAGATCGTCTTGATAACCGGTTCTCACTCCAGCATGGAATCTGAGAGACAGGAGACACTGAGTGGAAAAGCGTTCCACATATCAGTAACACCAGTAATGCAGCCGTTAAGAGCAGAGGTTCTTCTGTATATTTGCATGAAATTGGCTCCAGTTTACAGATGTTGCAGGATGAAGGGGATAAGATTACAATCTGCCAAGAGAATCAGCTACTGGGTTGCAACGTTTCAAACTGGAATGAAGATCTCCTTCGTTGAAGAATATGGTATGTCAGGGGGGAGGGGAGCCTTTACCCTTTTTTATTAATACAATATTTGCTATATAAATGATTTGGCAAACCTCCCCCTAAACAATAACAACTGATAAAGAGCAAAAAGAGAAAAAGACAACAGAATTATATTTATGGATTAAAATGAAAATAGAACTGTGTGAGAACATTGGAATGATTTAAAGCATCTAACTTCCATCTGACGGTAATTTGGACTGTGGTCTTTGATCTGCAGTAGCTCTGGTGAGACTCCAGATCGTTAGAGATAAGAATCTGAGGAGAAGGAGAACTGGAATCTTGCCCGGATGGCAGGATGCCAGATTACTCCCATACTCAGATATAAACGACAAAGATGGAGTAATGACGCAGCTTGAATTTCAACAGAAGAAGAGAGACTGGAAAAGCGGAAGCAGAGATGCCATGTAAGACATGATTAGAACAACAAATAAACAAATGAGAAAATAAACATCTCACACAGGAAACAGAACTCTTTCTATGGAAAAACTTTTGTTATTAAATATCTCAACACAAATGGAAGTCAAGAAATCAGTAGCTTTTGATAAGGGACTAAGATTGGGACTGAATGCAATTGGATTAACTAAGATCTCAGAAGCAGGAAGAAATAAGAACTTTGCACTCCGACACCCAGCACATGGGAAGTCACTCAAAATGTATAATTGGCTGTATAATTGATTTATATTTGGATGGGAATTGTAATTTGATATTGATAAAATGTGGTTGTCATTGGATTTTAATAATTGAGAATTAATAAAAGTTATGTGCAAAAAAAAAAAAAAGACAAGCAGAGGGAAAGCAAGCATTCTAAGCATTGCAGACAGAAAGGAGTTCCTCACTGCAAAGCCTATGCTATGAGTACATGGTTTTTCTGGATGCCCTGCTTGCCAGAAAAAGGTGTAGTTCTTCTCTTGGAAGCAGCCACTTGAAGTGAGTGTGGTCTCCTGGAGAGTGGCAACATCAGTGTCGAGTGTTTTCAATTATGTCCGGCTTCTGTGAGTCACTGGCACATGCATACATGGTCCTGATGTTTCAGCTTGATAGGTGCAAGAGGGTTTGTTTCGTTTCTTTTTTGCCTGGTGCAGAAGTTCAGTCCACTTGTTGAGTGATGCTCTGAGCTCCAAGCACCCATTAAAGCAGGCAGACTGTGGTGGGTCAGCACTTTATTGACTTGGGGCAGCCCAGCTTAAGGGAGGCAGTAGCTGACCAGTGAAATACAATTATCTCTCCCACTGAGGAAGGCAACTTGTAGCCCTTGTACCTTATGCCAATCAGATTATAACTTGTAACTGATGCCTCCTAGAATCATAGAATCTTAGAGTTGGAAGGTACACCAAGGGTCATCTAGTCCAACCCCCTGAAATTCAGGAATCTCAGCTAAAGCATCCATGACAGATGGCCATCCAACCTCTGCTTAAAAACCTCCAAGGAAGGAGAGTCTACTACCTCTCATGGGAGTCTGTTCCACCTCAAACAGCTCTTTCTGTCAGAAAGTTCTTCCTGATGTTTAGTTGGAATCTCCATTCTGGTAACTTGAAGCCATTGGTTCATATACTACCTTTCAGAGCAGGGAAAACAAGCTTGCTCTATCCTACATGTGACAGCCCTTGAGATATTTGAAAATGGCTATCATATCTCCTCTCAGTCTCCTTTTTTCCAGGCTAAACATACCCAGCTCCTTCAAGTGCTCCTCATAAGGCTTAGTTTCCAGACCCTTGATCATCTTGGTTGCTCTCCTCTACACACGTTCCAGCTTGGTCTCCTCTTTTCCAGACTAAACATACCCAGCTCCCTCAACCATTCCTCCTAAGGCTTTCCAGACCCTTCATTATCTTGGTTACCTTGCTCTGCACACGTTCCAGCTTGCCAACATCCTCCATAAATTGTGGTGCCCAGAATTGGACACAGTATTCCAGGCATGGTCTGACCAAGGCAGAAGAGAGTGGGACTATTACTTCCTGCTTTGTTTTTGTTGTGTTGGCAGCACCAAAGTGACCTCTTTAGGGTGCAAGCCTAGGCAGAGCGTATTGAAGTCCTGGGCTGCACAGACAACAAGATCCTCCTCTCCCTCTCACAGACATGGTCCAAAGGAAAGGAAAGCAATACATTTGGCACCCGCTTGGCTGCTGGAGCTGCTGGAAGGAGGCACACAGAGTGCCATCCAACAGTATTAGGGACTCCACTCTGGATTTTTGTTGAGTTTACTCCTTAGCTTTTTCTTCTCCCGAAGATGTCCTGCAAGGCAGCAGGTACTGATTTTTCCTTGGGGTTTACTCCCGAAGCCTTTTTCATAAATGAGTGTAGCTGCAAGGCAGCAGAGGTTTAGAACCAGAGTTTTCCTTCTCCTTGATGGGCTCCCTTCCAGGTTGATGAGCCCCATCTATCCCTCGTTTCCCTCTGCATCCTGTGCAGAAACTGTCTTCTTGACCACTGGACTCACTGTTGGTCTCATCCGCTGAGTCCGCTGGAGCCTGTCTCTGCATGCAGGGCACGAGACACAGCCAATAAATAGACTGCTCCATCCACCCATTACTACTCGTGTCAGCTGGAGGAGAGACAGAAATAATTTAGGGTTATGGTAAAAATGTACAGAACTTAGTGAAGTTAGGTAAAAGTTAGAGAAGCATCTCTAGGTAAAAGTTGGATAGGACCAACAGTTTTAACCTCCATTTGCCTCCAGCGTTATTTAGCCTATAAAATCTGTCCTCAGCCTTGTGCATTTCACTGCATTCCACTGAGATTACTTCATTGGCAGCAGAACCAGCATCTGCTGAACAACTAGCCAGATTAGGGAGAATTAAGGCACAAATAAAAAAAGAAAAAAAAGAGCAATGCTAGCCAAAAAGCACAGTGGGAGAAGAGATGAATACTTCAGGATCTGCAAAATTACAGCTACAGAGAAATCCAGCGCCATTCCACAAAGCCTCATAGGGTTCAACAAATTGATCCAGGAGAATTGAATCCAAAAGAAAAAAGAAAGAAGTTTTCTGCTAACCGTACATTAGACCTTGTTCCACTGTAGATAAATGCTAGTTTATTCACACTGAATAGCCCCAGTTCCCTTCTTTTGGCAGAATCTGTACCCAGGCAATTCTCAACAATTCTCCTCTCCTTTCTTGACATGCTCTTACATACTTATCATGGACGTGATTCGGTTGTGTGTAGGATACAGCTATGAACTGTGAACAAATCCTGAAACTGGATGATTCCTCCATACAAACACAAAAAATGCCACACTGGAGAAATCTACATGAAGCAAACCTTATCATAGTGATACCCAGAAGTATGGTACATAGCATTTACGGAGAAATTAACATACAAACTTTGAGTCTTAAACTTCTTAAGGTTTGTGTCAGGGAACTGACATCGGAGCTAGAGGTGGAGGCAAGGCTCCCAAGCGATGCTGGAGAAGGGCCCAGCAGGGAGAGAGGCAGCTCATCAGCTGGGGAAGGAATTCAGCGTAACACCAGGGAGATGGGGGAATCGGCGAGGGGGCTCCAGGACTCCTCGCCGGAGACCAGCGGGGAGAGCACGGGTCCTCCGCTACCCACACCCTCCCTGCGCAGAAGACTTCCGCGCAGGGAGAGTAGGAGGTGACTTGGTGTCAAACAGCTTTTATGCTGGAAAAGGTTTAAGAAACGCCCACTGACGGATTCTGCTAGCGACTGAAACAGCCACGAAGTGAAGGGCTGTCCAGACAGAAAAGGTTTAACAAGGCAACCTAGCCAGGAGTGGTGGCAACTTACGCACGAGCAACCCCTATATTTATTACAGTTTGGTTTAGCTTTGTTGCATATATTTACATTAAGCAAAGCTTAATGGAATAGGAAAGGGGGAGGGGTTAAAATGAGGATTTGTGGATATTGAAGCTCATTTGGATTGTGTTTGTTGAGCATAAGAACATAAAAAGAGCTCAGTGGGATCAGGCCAAAGGTCCATCTAGTTCAACATCCTGTTCTCACAGTAGCCAACCAATGTGGGAAACCTGCAAACAGCCTTTGAGTGCAAAAGCCTCTCTCCTCCTCCTCTGGCTGCCAGCAAATGATATTCAGAAGCATTGCTACCCCCAACCGTGAAGAGCCATCTTGGCTAGTAGCCACTGACTGTCCTCTCCTTCATGGATTTGTCTAATCCTCTTTTAAAGCCTTCTTGGTTGGTGGCAATCGCTGCTTCCAAATAGAAAAAGATCATTAAAAGATGATTCAACATGCAGTTCCCACAGCCCATTGCAGAAAGCCATAATCATTGATATAAAAGTTGTAGGTTGTATAGATGCACAATTTGTGGGCAACATCCAGACACAAGGAAATTGCCTGGGGGAGGAGACAAAAAATTAGCACTATCCTGCCAGTGGGCCTAGTAGTACAAATGCTCCTCTTGTGTGACTTGGAAAGTTTGGGTGTGTGTGGATCTCTTCTGTTACCAGCCCTGGTTTAATTCAGTGCTATAACCTCTTTTGTTAAACAGGTTACAGAGCTCCAGAGAGATTTAAGGGTCAGGAAGATGAATTGCTCCAAGGACGAAGGTTAATTCAATCCATGAATAGAATAATTGCTGGAGTCTTCAAGGGGGATTATGACAGGGATATTTGTCATGGTATTTCAGAGATCAGATCCCTGCTGAGGAAAAGATATTGCCATTAGAAGAACAATAAAAAGGTACTTTCAAAAGCAAAGCAATTGCTACTTGTCATACAAGCTGCAGGACAGGGCATTCTGCCAAGGGAAATGAGAGCTCTTTTTTCAATAGCTATGTTATTAGAAGAATTTTGAAAGCTTATTTTTGTAAAAAATAAAGGACTAGTATATGGTGTATTTTGTAAAGGATTGGTGAGTGGATGGAACTGAATGACCTTGAGGTTCCTTGGCTACCAAGAAGCTGAGTTCACCTTGAACCCTGCATTTGCCCTAGAACTGTGTGTCTACATTGCCTTTGCTCTGTGCAATGAACAGCGTGCAGTTGCAAATGAAGTTTGCACCAGGTGATTGCCGTGGTTGCAGATGCGCCTGTCATAACCAGGAATAACAGCATTTCAGGCTTCCCAGTCTCTGGAACCTTTGCCACATCTAATGCAAATATCTGGTCTTCCATGTGTTCTGCAGGCTTCCTCCAGCAAGCAGCTTCCA